ATGTCTCCCTTTAAGCAACCATGTGGTCCCAGACCAGGAGTCTCTTAAAAGTTTTTTTACAGTCCTTGAGCCACCTGTGATCATCACCAGAAAAAAAATGTGACTTTTTTTTTCTTTTTTGTCATTTATGGAAAATAAATCAATAGATATATTTTATTGGTTTAGTCTAAATTTTGACTATTTTTTTATATAAAAAAGATGAGACCCACCAATTTCCAAAGTATAGCACAGTACATAGGTAGTCCATGGCTTATGACAATTGAGCTCAAAATTTCTGTTGCTAAGTGAAACAGGTCACCACGATGGGGACTGCAACCAAGAAATTAAAAGACACTTGCTCCTTGGGAGGAAAGCTATGGCAAATCTAGACACCATACTAAAAAGTAGAGACATCACCCTGCCAATAAAAGTACGTATAGACAAGGCCATGGTTTTCCCAGTTGCAATGTATGGATGTGAAAGTTGGACCATAAGAAAGGCTGAGTGCAAAGGAATTGAGGCCTTTGAACTATGGTGCTGGAGAAGACTCCTGCGAGTCCCCTGGACTGCAAGGTGATCAAACTGGTCAGTCCTAGAGGAGATCAACTCTGACTACTCTTTAGAAGGCCAGATCCTGAAGTTGAAACTCAAGTACTTTGGCCACCTAATGAGAAGGAAGGACTCACTGGAGAAGAGCCTAATGCTGGGAAAGATTGAGGGCAATAGAAGAAGGGGACGACAGAGAATGAAGTGGCTGGATGGAATCACTGAAGCAGTAGGCGTGAGCTTAAATGGACTCCAGAAGATGGTAGAGGACAGGAAGGCCTGGAAGAACGTTGTCCATGAGGTCGCGATGGGTCAGACACGACTTCGCAAATAACAACAACAAGTGAAACAGATATTAAGTGTGTTTTGTCCCATTTTATGACTTTTCTTGCCACAGTTGTTAAGTGAATCATTGCAATTGTTAAGTTAGTAACATAGTTGTTAGGTGAATCTGGCTTCCCCATTAAATTTGCTTGTCAGAAGGTTGCAAAAGGTGACTCTAATCATCATAAATATGAATCAGTTACCAAGTTTTACTAAACAAAATGTTGTAAGTTGTGGACCACTTGTATAAGTTTGTATAACAAACAAATTTCCCTTCCACTCCTCCTAAAACAAAAACAAAGCAAAAAGTCAGAAAATCCTAATTTTATTTTTGCCATCCACAAAAAAATGAAGAACAGTTGCAAGTCAGCAAAGACTACCAAGAAAAAGCCTTTAATGTTTTGTTTAATGTGTTTTTACTGTTGTTGCTTGCTTGTCTTTCAAAAATGTCATCCTGAAAAGAGGAATATAATTAAGTGTAATCCTATTAGGGTGTAATAAAATAGCCACCATAAATTTCCTAACTTTCAAAAGCAAAAGAAAAAAAGGATATTGAAATGTCCTTGGTGGCAAACTTATTAACATGGCAAAGAAACTGAATATGGAGTAATGTTTTCATTGATATGTGTTTAATTTTGCAGCCTTTAAAGTAACATGAAACAAAATACAACCTTGCAGGTAAAGTATCAAAGTGCTAAGATTAGTGCAGATATAATTTTAAATGCCATACAGCTGCCAGAAATTGATAATTAAACCTGGCTCTTACTTACATTAAGCATTTCAGCAACTTTATCTGAGATTATCAGAGTAAGAGTAATTCAGCTCTTCACAGCCCATTAACACTCCATAAGGCATTTTATCTATACTTTACAAAGCTGTTTAACACATGTCATAAAGGGCCATAATGTTTGGAGGAGGCCATATTTATTAACTACAAAGGCTAAATTCTTTTTTATATACAGTATATCATAAACACGTGTGGATAAGCTGAGAAATTTAGATGCCAAAATGGAGATGGGTTCCCTCAGTTTTTTAAAAGTAACCATATATTCTATAAGCCCATCTGCAAATAAGAAGACCCTTGAATTTTTAACCAGAATACCTTGAAAAATGCAGGTTGGTTTATCCATGATAGTGCATTTTTCATGCTATTTAAGTTAAAATTTGAATCCTGAATTTTATCCGTGGATGGGCTTATTTGCAAGTATGCATAGTATACTGTACACTTTTCTCAAACCATATTCAAATATGTCACACAGAGGCAGTCTGCTCCTGCAATGCTGTGTTCCCACTGAAAGTTGTGCTCCCACTGAAAGATATCACACACACAAATGCAGAGAACAAAACGTCAAGTACCCATTCAACAACTGTGTTCACTATACTCACAAGGAATGTGCATTTTGGTCCTACCTTAGAAGAGAAAACCTGACACCTAGAAATGCTCTGGCCTTATTCATTTAAGTTAAATATAGCAGTCATAGAACAATGACCAAAATGATAAATGGGCAAGAATAATATGATATTTCAAGATAACAGAATAACAGATTTTGAAGGTACCATGGGGTCTTCTAGTATAAACTCCTGCTCAAGCAGGAGACCCTGTACCATTTCAGACAAATCTCTTCTTAAAGATTCAGGCATTGACTTCTGTCCACCTTGAGGCTATTCTTCCCAACTTCTTCCATCACATAATGCTTCCTTAAGCAACGCTCCCTCCCAAATCACCATACATTCCATTTTAATCCATTGCTATTCTTTAATTCTTCAGTTTGTTGAGGGAAAAAGATAAGCAGTGTCTTCTATTATGAGGCATTTCCTAATCCTTGTCAGGGCACCTGAGCAGACCAAATTATGGAACTAACCCAAGTTAGGAGATGAGGAGCCAGCAGTAGGAATGAATTTAATGCAAGGTAGAAAGGGCTGGATATCCTTTGGTTTTAATACTATTTGTTGTATTACCTCTTTGACTTTGGCACCCTTTTGGGACAACATTCAAAAGATGCAACACTATTGATGAAGACAGAATTAAATTTTCACTGATACCTTGAAATCATGAAATGCCTTCAAGATGCCCAACACTGTATGATAATGATTATATTCCAGGTATCAATGATAAGTGAATCATTACTTACCCTATAGTGCTGATTTGCTCTAATAACACTTTGAAAGTGATAATACCTAACCTCCCAGTCTCCTCATACCTTAGGTTAATCAGGATGAAATCTCATCAACTGAGAATTAAGAAAGGAATGTAGCCAAGGCCAGTTTCAAGTTTCAGTGAAGTGATGTATGATGAATCTCTACTGAAGTGGGTCCTATTAGTTGTAGCAATAATGAGCAAACATTCACTTTTCTCACAAATGTATGGTAATATCCAGACAGATATTTGATTGGAGGCTTTGTGTAAAATTAAAATGTCTATCACTACTAATTAAATATGTGGCCAGGAATGTACAACAACTTGATCCCACTTGGATGCTCAAGTGCAGCAGATGCCCAACAATAGTGCCTGATTTAAACAGAAGATCATCAGTACAGGTAATTGCTTCTTAATTATACTACCAACAAATTTCACTAACTACTGGATTGAGCTAGGAAAGATGAAAATAATCTTAAGAACAGAATGCCACTCTTTTAACTTCATAATTACAAAATATCTGGCCTACCAGGCCTCCTTGAATAAGTTGCTTGGCTTGACACTCAAAGCTAGAAATGTTATTCCACTTTCCATCTGTGCAATCCATTGCAATTTGAAATATATATTTTTAAATGAACAAAATTATTCCAATAGTTTAAGATTCTTTCACAAAAGAGTCTCATGCCAAAATAACAGAAGAGCATCAGGCTTGAGTCTTCAGAGGTGACACATTGCAGTCAGAAGAGCTTACTAGCTGTTACAGACACTCAGAAGGCGGTCAAAGTTGTTTCTTTTTTCTTTTTTACTTTTATTTAATGAGTCTTATCTTTAAAATAGCTCTTAAACTAGTGTAATATTTTTATACGTTTTATATCCCAATGAAAAGGGAACATTCAGTGCAGTCTGCTGCAGGTAAGGATTTTTTGTCTGCTTAGTTTACATTAGTAAAACATATAAAGACATTTTTTGCAAGGTAAAATTAAACCATCACAAATAAATATAAGGGGAGCCAGGATTGATGATGACCAACATAAAGTGATCTAAACTTGTTGATGCTGAGTCCTGATACATTGCAGAAGGGAGGTTACTTCATAGGATAAGTGCCACTGCAAAGAATTGCACCTTCTGTTCTTATTTAATGACATTTCCATAAGCCATACATGAACAACAGAAAAACAAGAATACTGGAGAGTAGTATCTCAAAGGTACTTTCTCAAAAGGCAGTTTGTTTTTCCTTGAAGACGTTTTCCTTGAAGACGTTTTCCTTGAAGACACAGTCCTTTCAGCAGTTCCAAGAAGGCTCCACAGTCATTTGCACTATGCAGATAACCTGGAGAGCACAAATAAACTGCCAGGTGGCCTCAATGACTCTCATAAAGAGGGATAATGACCATATGACTGCAAGGAATATAAATCCTTCCATTTTCCACCTTTCAGTCAGAACTGAAGAAGCTTTTTGGATGAGAAGCAAAATGTTTTCAAGGAAACACAAAGTCCAGTTGTCTTTTGAAAAAGCACCTTTGGGACAACCATGACCTGAATAATTGAGAATCTCCATAGACTGGAGACTAGTATAACAGGGGACATTCTTTAAGTTAACTCAGTCCTGAGCTGTTGAAGGCTTTGTATACTACCATTAACATCTTCAAGCAGGCCCAGCGCCAGTCAGGCAGATTTTTTAGCACAAATTTAATAGCTGTAACATAGTGGTCATAGCTGCTGCATCTGAACTAGTTATACTCTTTGAAACAGACCCAACGTCAGTTTCTCATAAACTCCCATTTTTGATTTTGCCAATGTATGAATGTATGAATAATAGGAGCTCTGCAACAGAAAAAAAGGACTGCAACAAGGACTCAGGAAGAAAAAGAGGGGAAACCATGATCAGTAACACATAAAAATAAGTCTCTTAATTATTAAGATACTTCTTCATGAAATCAGGACTTATTCTCATTTTTCAGTAGCTTTAATCTCAATCTTTTCTATCATTCAAGTGAGTGAATATTCATCTCACCTCATACTCCTCTTTAAATCCATAGCCCTGTCCCCGTTTCATCTGAGTGATGTGCTGCAACAAGTCGGCCACTCGGATTGCTGGCTGGAACTGTCCCCTGGGATAGGACATTTCCACTGGGTCACAGCTTCGATAGGGATGGGTCTGGATTGTCAGGGTCGGTTGAGTCATCTCCCCATGGCTATTGTCTGTTTTAAAGATAGGGAGGCAAAACAAAGTTTCACCTAGCTGTTACTTGTGCATTTGTTTTCTTTCCCATAGGAATTAATTTCTCCCCATAGGCGAAATAAAGGACTATAGAGAAACCATCTATGCCCAATGCCACCAGGTAATGCGGAAGGAAAAAAAAAACCCACACAGAAGCAACAAAGTCATGAAATGGTTCTGTTAACAGCAGGAAGAATATGACTTTTTGATGCACTTTACATTAGAAGTGAAGCATTTTTTTTCATGCGATCTAGTCACACTAAATAGTCACCCACCCTGCCCAGCTCTGCCTGCTGCTGTCTGAGCTGAAGGGGAGGAAAATAACACAGAAAAGTGATATTGACTTTCCCCAGTTATTTTCCCCATCTTTATTTATTTTTATTTTTTTGCCAGCAGAAGCAAGTAGGGTGCCAGTGCTATTTTACAGCCTGTAGGGAAACTGGATATATGAATAAAGAGCTTTGATAGATTGGCAGTTTATGCTTTGTCTAACTGAAGATATACATCAGCAAAAGATACACAGATTTACATACATTTTTCAAATATTATTATTATGAAAATAATAAGGAAATAAATATCATAAGAGTGGGGACTTTGTAATTTGCTGTTTATTCTATTTGCTAATGCTAACTCTTGATATTATCTTCGGGGACCCTGCTCTCCTTCTGTTAGTTCTTAATTCTGGAATTACTTTCAGGATATTTTTCCAACTTGGAGGCTTAGAGCATGGCCTGGCAATATTTATTTTTCTACTTTGATTCTTATTCAAGGGCATTCTCAAGTTAAGTAAATCTGTTTGGTTCATTTACTCGTTATCGTGGAAGGAAATCACGTCAGTGATTGGGAATTGAGGCAATCAATATAGAATAGGGTTTGGTGATGGAAACAGCAAATTTTATGCCAGGGTATTTTTGTCCTGACTCAAGGGTGGCATGAACAGCACTTGAGTTCAGAAGTGGAGAAAGAGAAGGATTGCAATGTAGAATGTGTCTATTTTAAGCATCAGTATTAGGGCAGGAGAACCTAAAATGTTTTATTGCTTTATTTCAATTAATTTTAAAAACATGAAAGAAATGGAGTTTTGACTTTTGCGCAGATATTCTGAAAGAATTTTAATAAGAGAACTAATATATGCGAAATCTCTTTTTCTATTTTCTCACATCAACTAATCTAAATGGAGAGGATAGGGAATCCATCATCAGCTGTTTCTTTAATGCCCTTTATTCTGCATATGGATTGAAATCTCATTTTTTCTTCTTCTTAAATTGAATCAGTTTGGGTGAGGTATCACTGGTCCTTTACACATTATAAAAAGTAGATTAAAGTGGGGTTTTTTATGTTTTATATCAGTAAAAGATGAAACTGCTATATGTGTTATGGAATAAATAGGTAGAATACTTTCAAACTTTTCTCTTTCTCTTTTAGTGTTGCTACAGCTGTCATGGAAGGGAAAGATAGGTCAATTGCTGCTTGCGCTTCTGAATATATTTTTCTCAGCCACTATTGTCTAAAATTAAGCTAGATAATTAAAGGACAGGCAACATCCTATGAAAAGAAAGTTATGGCCCCAAATATAAAAGGTGTGTGAGTACAGTTTTTAGAATTTAATCAGCAATGCAAATGTGTGTGTGTGTGTGTGTGTGTGTCTGTCTGTCTGTCTGTATAATTTCAAATATTTCTTCTCCATTGTAATGGGTAAAGATCTAACATAGGAGTAGCAAACTAAGCACTTATTTATTCAATTAACAAGTCTAACATCATTGCTAATGATAATGACTCTGAACAGAGGGGATTTTCAAGGCTTATTAGTTTTCCAGGCTAGATTTACTTTCTCAATTCATCTTTCTTTATCCTATTTCCCATTAACCCCCTTTAATAGAGAAGGAGATATCTTTATAAGTATGCCATACCCCACTGGACTTACTATCCTTAATTTTCTACCATAATGTTGAATTCCACCTGTTTTACGACTGGCTTCCCCACAGTCTGTACATTTTTATGAATTTTGTTTAAAAGCATTGCAAGCTACCATTACAAGAGGGAACTATCAAAAATAATATGTAGACTTACTAAAGCATACTCAAAGCCACTGGATACATCATTATTCAAAATTACTTAATTTAGCATGTTCAATTGTAATTACTATTTCCCCATGCCTAGATTAAATGTTGTTTTGGTCTCTGCCATTTTTTTCAGTTTTATAGGGAAAAAATTACTAGCTGCTAAATTTTGGAAATTGGAGTCCACACATTTTAAAGTTACCAAGTTTGGAAATTACTGCTTTAGTATTTATCAGTGGCCAACCAGCTACTCCTGAGCAGTATTTTAAGCAACATCTAAAGAAGAAGAAAAAAGAAATAGATGATGACAATCTGGATTAGCTGTTAAAACTCTATTATAAATATTTATAATAATATAAATATAAGAAATCTTATATTTAATATAAATGGTACTACACTGACATATGAATCTTAGAGTGAATTACTGTTTCTGCTTGAACTGTATAGACAAATTTAAAAAAATCATTTTCCAAATTTTTGCTATTTTAACTTGTGCTACTAAAAGTGATGATGCAAAGTTCTAAGTAAGCACTACAGTATGTCCAAGTAACACAACAAGCTTTGTCCAAGCTACATTCAAATATTATAAAATATAATAAAGAATATAAATTCTTTCCAGTGAATAAGAGAATATGTAAGGATCAGTTGCAGAGAAAATCTGAACATGGATCTTTCAGTCTCAGCCAAATTTTTCACACTGGCTCTACATAATAATTTTCTGGTATTTATAAGCAAAAGCTGATTCTCTGCTTTGCAAAGTAAACAGCAACAAAACATAGCAAGCCATATGCTTTTTGCTCACAGATACTCTCTGAATTCAAAACAAGACAAGTACTCAAATTTTCTGCAAGTAATGCTAGAGATGTATATACTATTTCTAAGATGTCTAAGTATAAATTCATGAGATATTATGAAAATCATTTTGCCATCTCTTGGGATGTATTGCTTGCAATCCCAGAACAAATTAACAACAATAAATTATTGTTTCTAATCAATAGGAAGATTTTTCTGTAACTCAGTTTAAATTTCCTCTGTTTCTCCCTGCCATTTGCACTTCTGTATAAACAGAGGAAAAATATATTAAAAATGTTTACAGTGACTTATATTTGCTATATACTGTAGAATTAAAAAAAGTTAGTTGAAAAATTAACAGATGCCATCTTCTAACAGAACATTTTCATATTTACCAGTCAATGGATTTAATCTCTGTAAACTGCCTTTCTACCTTATACTGAATGCTGCTGCTAAAACATATTACAATTATAACATGTCTGTATGTTGGTGAATATTATAAGTAATATGCCTTTCTATTTACAATGCTGCTGAAGATCTAAATGCTTATTATTATGGTATGTCACTCAGTCAGCCAGATGTTTAGATTGGATTTGGCTTTTCATTCATCTGTCAAATTCTTTCCAAGGACCTGGGACATGCACATGTTATTATTTGATGATGTCAAAAGAATTGTCACAGGATGTAAGCTGTTTCAAGTAAAGCTGCCTTTTGCAATTGACTGATGGTGATTTTGTCAATGCCGATGGTGTTTAAGTGGTACTCCACTTGTTTTGGTATTGCACCTAAGGCACCTATTACTATTGGTACTATCTTTGCTGTCTTTTGCCACAGTCATTCTATTTCTATTTGCAGATCTTTGTATTTTGTGATTTCTTCCAGTTCTTTCTTTTCTATTCTGCTGTCTCCAGGATCTTTATGATATTATTATTATTATTAAGCATATAGCCACTCAACTTATAGACCGTGACTCCAGGCAGTATATGACATTAAAAGCACATAAGTAATCTGCAAGGGGGGGGGAATTATAAACAGTTACAAGCATTGTTTTTGCCATAACAGCCAGGTATTATCTGATCTTATGTAAATCATAGGCTTCAATCAGTTTTTTAGTTTTTAAAAAGGAACCCAAATTCTCAACTTTTCCGAACATAATAGAAATCTTGTGAGATTAGAAGTGTGTGGATAGTGCAGAAATATGACAACAATAAGATTAAGATCTGTTCAGACAATTCAAGTTCTGCCACAAAAAAGTGTGTTTTGAATATAAAAGGCAAGTTATGTTTCAGAACGCTCCATTAATTGTTACAGCTCTGATTTTAATATGATAAGCCTATCATATCAATTTATATTTTTATTATGTTAGTCTTGGCAGTGTGTAACATGAGACGACATCCTTTCCACAAAATAAATTATTTTTGAAGTGATGTTTACAATGGATTTAATTATACACACATCCAAACTCACTCTTCTGAAATAAAAGGTTGTCATTTATTTGACATTTCCTAAGCAAAGTTCCAGAATATCTCATATTACTTTTTGTGTTATCCTAGTGGTAAAGAAAAATACTTTAAAAATTGGCTTCCCAATTGTCTTTCTTTTCATTTAGCTATTACGTGACAAATTGTTTACTTCATGGTGAACCATTTGTCATGGTTCCTGATTGTGGTAATATGCTAATATAAAATAATTCCTGCCTTGAGAAGGGGACAATCATACTAGTGATTTAATATAATGTAGGGTTTTATTTGTTTATTTTAGCAAAAATATTGATAGCTAATTAATTAAGAGCTCAAACTAGTGGGAACTTGCTTTCTGAGGCTGATGATAAATAAGGGGCTCAATCTAATACTAAAAAGTATATAAAGAAAATAAAGCAGAACTTCATTTTTTGCTCAACCCCATATGAACAATTTGTTTCTGAGAAAAAACACCATCCTTCTGTTTAGGTTTCTTGGCTTCCAATCTACTATGGGCTATTTGCCCATCTTTAGACTGAAAGTGTAATATAGTTTGTCACCCTTTTTTTATGACTCTGGCATCTGGACCTGAACACAATTGTCAAAATCAATTAGAAAGTAACATGATTCTATGAGATAATTTTATGTTGCAAAAATAGGAATTTTGCATCATTTTTCACACAAATCATTTCATTCTGCATTTGACTTCCTGCTATATTTTTATTTTTTTGGTTTTATCATTTAGTTTGTCTGTTTCTGAACTCAATTTATGTATTCTGGTATTCTCCGGGTAGAATATTCTTTTTATTTAAAATAGGCAATTTATTTTATTATCCTTTATGACTTTTCTTCTAGACTTTATATCAAATGGACTATGGCTTAGTTAATATCCTATCCTATACCATCCCACCCTACCCCACTCTACCCCACTCACTCCACCCCACTGCTGTGTGTTTGTGTGTATGTGTGCTATTATATGTATAGTAGTGTAAAATGAAACTCTGGTAATATTTAGCAGAGAAGTTATTAAAAATAATTTCCTTCTCCCCCAATTAATATGCTAATTAACATATGATGTAAATATTGCTTTAAAGTATGTATTGTTTGAAACAAGTCCCCCCTAACAAATCAATAATGAACATTGGATTTTAGAAAATCTCCTGACTACCTATGGCTTGGAGGTCTTCTTTTACATCTAGCAATGTGAAAAACCACTGTCCAACAGCAGCATCTTATGCACTCATCCTTGGTGATAGATCATTTTTGCCCTAATTGTTCTACCTATTCAGGTGCCAGAAAATAATGCTAAATTTATAATGCTCCCTGGCAGCATGACTTTCAACGTTCAATCAAAAATCCATATTCCCCCATCTTAACATAAAGTCTTTCCATGGATTAAAATAGATTGTTTCAGAAGCTTTTTTGGGCCTTTTCTTTTCAAAGCAAAACTGTCTTCTTGCCAACTTGATATATCTTAAGAAGCAACCTGAGATTCCTGAGGAACTTTCATAGCTTAACATGATATTCTAACATTCTGACAATCATCTTTTTCTTTTACTCTTCTCTCAGCTGTGAATATGAAGTATCCAGAATGTCCTATGGCTTAGTTCTTTCACACTTTCTTTAGTCCTGCATGACAGCTCATCAGTAGGGTGTCAGCAGAGAAATGCCTACATGCTGAATACGTCACCATTGCTCATAGGATGCCAGACTATGTGAACCTGTTCTGTAGGAACCCTGCAGAATATCTTCTGAATTAGACAGTAGAAATTTAAGGATGTCTTTCTCTCTACAGTTCTCTTTATGGATGTAGTACCAGTATCCATTTGTTCAATAAGGCACTTGATAAATCACAGTCTCTTCATGGAACACTAGAGGACAAACTCATATTTAACACATTCCAGATACTTATGTGATTTTTTTTCTTGCCATAAATTTATGGCTACCTAAAGATATGTTAGCTATACTTGTAGATAAAATTGCTATAGAAATATTTGTACAGTTTTTCTCTTATTTCTCAGTTCTGTTTTGTCTTCAACCTGATCATTCCTCATCTAGATGTACAGTGATATTTTTTTTTAAAAAAAATCAGAATCAATGAAACATTGAACATATGGAGTTTTATGAATTGTAATTTAAAGCTTGAATTTCTCTTCATTGTCATCAAGAGGAAAATAAAATGGTCTAAGCCAGTTTCTTTTCAGTACAACAATAACAGAAAAAAACAGGGAAGGTTGTATCTACCTATGAAAAGCTATTTCCTTCTGATGTTCTGTTTTAATATATTTTTATTAAAAAATTTAATTACAATAGTAAAAACTAATGCAAACTAAGCAGAGAAGGAGAAGAGAATGGAAAGAATAAATAGTGGGGGGGAAAGAAAAAAAAGAAAAAAAAAGAAAAAGAAAAGCAATATATAAAGAAGTTATTTCCTACCTTCAGCACAAGCCTACCCAAACTCTTCATAGTATAAGGTTTCATCCTGTGTCCCATCCCTTATTTATAAGCAAATCCATAAAACATTAACTGTTCAATCCTGTTGTCAGCTAAAAGTTCCTAAAGGGCTGCCAGAACATTTTTTTTAAAGTCTTTGTGTAACATTGATCTATTAAACCAAGTTATATTCCTTCCTTTTACTTCTAACAGACTCACTTTTTAATTCAATAAAATATTTATATACAGTATGATTTGATTTCAATTCTTCTTTCTGCTATCACACAGATTTCTTCATGGCTTTAACAAGCCTTTTTGGAGATCTAATATGAAAACTTTTCCCAGGTCATTCTCTTGGTTTATTGTTTGTATTTCCCTTTTAATTTTTAAAACTTCACCTAGCTTTTTTTATATATCAGGTGAAGCGTCCTTTTACAAATCATTCTCTTGACTTGTTATTTGTATTTCCACACTCTATATTTTCTCTATCTTGACAGATAAAATTTATTCTACATCTGTTTTTCTTTCATTAAAAACGTTTAGACATAATCTATCCATAGAAGCAGACATAATACTGACAGTGTTGATATTATATTTACTAACTTCTGATTCCATTCTTCAAAGATTTCCTTTAATATTTCCAATGTTATGTTTTGTAACACTCTATAAGTTCCAGTATTAACTGACACAATGCTTGTAAATCTTTACTCCCCTCCAGAGTCCAATTTCTAAAACCATCACTTATCTTTTGTTTTAATTTGCAGTTCCCAAGCCAGAATCAATCTGATTCCCATGAGAGGCTGTTTATTTTTACAGTCAATTCTAATTTATAGTAAATCAATATTCCAAATTTATCTGAATCCTTAAATCAATGTATAACTTTCTATCTACCAAGGTATTGTCCTTGGTAGCTTGCTCCTGCACAGTTTCACCAGAGTTAACTTTGTTTGCTTGTTTGTTTTTTAACTTTCATAGGGTTGAAAAGAGGAGAAAGGGAAATAAAGTTTCTAAAGCATCATTAACAAAACCTGTTGCTTCAAGTTAGCAAACCAGTAATATAATTAATTATTTTATTTTCTCCGAGAGAGGAATTTGGCACAGAAGCAGGAGTGACATCTCCCTTTTAAAGTGGGGTAGTATTCATTTGTTTAGAATGTTTTTGATCATCACAATGGAAGATGATAAAGAAGAGGAAAATCCATCATTGCATCTCCTTAGTAATTATGACTTTCAGTGCACAAATGCTATCTAATATTGTTTATTGTTCTACATATCTGAATCAAGGACCAATTCAACAGAAAGCAGCATTATGTGAAAGTGTGTGCAATTTGTAATCACGGGGGGGGGGGATTTTACACTAGCTCCTGGTTTCATAGTTTTGCATGCTACAATGCATATTTCTGTTCACCTGTTCCACATGGTTTTAAAAGCTATGTCTTATTGATTAATAACTGAATCTGAAGAATGAGATTTCAGAAACTAAAACTGAGTAATGGAGGCAGCATAGACAATTAAAAAGTTCTGTTTTCTATGCTTTTCGTTAGCTGTCCATTTCTGATAATAATAGTGTTTTCCACAGGAAAAAAAATGTAATCTGTGGGGGGACTCCTCAGCTTATCAATTCAAGAATTTTTGTTTTCTTCCCAGTTTTGACGTAAGAAGCAACAGCTTATTTGGCAATGTTGGCTTTTGCCATACAGCATTCAGTGTGAAACTGCTGTTACTCTTTTCACTAGATGCACAGCTATTCATGGTTGTTGAAAGAGCTATAGGATCATTGTACTTTCAGGATGGAGACTATAGACTATATTTACAAAGTGGATCCAGTTCAGAATCCTCAAGCTAAGCACATTTCTTGGAGAAGGCTTTGTAGTAGACAGTGTGATCAATCAGAATAGAGCTGGAAGGGACCTTGGAGGTCTTCTAGTCCAAGCCCCTGCTCAAGCAGAAGACCCTATACCATTTTAGACAGGTAGCTGTCCAGTCTTTTCTATGCAAAATATTTTTCAGTTTGCTCTTGAATCAGGGCTATACGTTTGGTTTTTCCTTCTATTATTAAATGTGTTAAGCATAATTAGGACATATAGGTTTGTTTATGTTTCTGGTTTCAAAATGTAGGAATACACTGCACTGGCTTTTGTCAAAAAGTGAAAAAAGAAAGTTCTAGGGACAACTATAAAAGGATCTGGGGATTTCAGGTATTTTTATTTATTTATATCCCACCATTATTATTTCTATAACTAAGTCAAGGGGTGAACATACCTAATACTCCTCCCTCTTACCATTTTCCCCACAATCAGCCTGTGAGCAGGTTGGATTGAGGAAGAGAATAATTCACCAAAAACCATCCAGTCAGCTTTCGTGTCTAAGGTGAGATAGAACTCTCAGTCTCCTAGCTTGGTATCTCAACCACTAGACCAAATGGGCTGTCATTGAAATTTGTCGGTATCTGCTTTGAATTGGGATTACAAAAGTGAAAGAGGCCTCTTCCTGCTTCCAAGAATTAGAGCAGGACAGAAATAATATTGAGGTTTTTTTCCCCTTAATCCTTAACTTTATACCTTTAACTTTTTGTCTGTTTGCTTCAGTGGGATGCAAGTCAATTAATTACCAAAATCATCCTGAGAAGTGAAACTTACTGAATCCATTAACATCTTGGCAGCCTGAAGTGAAAGTGTCTTCATTGTGAGCGGCACTTTTTGTAGCAGTCTTGTCTGAAGCAGCAACAGGCCCCATTTCTCGTTGACTGCTGCTTTGGGTCTCTTTTTGCTTTTTGGCTAGTTTCCTTCAGAGTGTTTTGAAAAAAGGAAGAAATCAGAATTAGTTTCATTCATAAATTAAAAGAAATTGAAATAAAACCAAATATAATTTTTTGGGATTGCTAACAAAGAGTTAGAGGGGGACAGGCAAAAGTTTTCTTCTTCCCATATTTGGGTGCACCGACAGGGTGCATCAAAAAAACACTCCACACACACACACACACACACACAGAGAGAGAGAGAGAGAGAGAGAGAGAGAGAGAGAGAGAGAGAGAGAGAGAGAGAGAGAGAGAGAGAGAGAGAGAGAGAGCGAGCATATATTATCTGATTTGACATAACATGCAGGGTTGTTGCAAACCTGAGGATGCATTTTGATACATCTCCATTTGCAAGAGTTAGCAACGGAGAGTGGATATGAGAGTAGCAATGGAGTATCATGGAAATTCACAGCATTCAAAATTTGGGTCAATGAAAAAAAAAGAGCATAACCAAATGGGACAGCAATGGGATCTTATCAAGCAATTATATGAATCTAATCATGGAAGCTCCTTTTATAATTTTGTCTCTGGTCAAGTATACCCCCCCCCCCTAGAAATCCTGTCAATCTCTATTCCAACTGGAAAAGCAATCTGTCTACTGAGTAAAATATGTTTGTGTGAGACCTTGCTCTTTTGCCAAAAGTTAGTCTCCAGGAGAAAAATGGTAATAATGAGGCATATTTTTATTTTTATTTTCTTAACTTGAATATACTTAAAATTTAAATTTATTTTAAACATTGTATACAATTTAAAAATCTAAAGGCCATGCTTGGTTTATCAGTCTAGGTCACTTACAGTTTTCCAGTGCCATCTATAAAGTGCCCATCATTGAGTTATGTTTTGCTTATATATGTGCAATTTCTAACCACTTAGAAGCCTGTTTCCATAACTGTTTCTTATATACTGGAAGATACCACAAATTAAGTTTCTCCTTAATTTAAGATTAAAAAAAATATTTTTGTAGTAAGTTTCTACAAGAATAAGCCATTAAAATTTGTACAAACATCTTGCTGTTGGCTCAAAAAGAATCAAGCCTTCCAAGTGAACAGTAAGAAAAACTGCTATTTGTGACTCTGAAATGCAAACACTTGCAACATGCTGTTCTTAAAGCATCTCATACGTTGCATCTGTAAAGGTCTAGAAACTAACTTTGAAGCAGAACTAGGAAAAAATAACATCATAGTGAACTCTCTTCTTCTAATGCTGCTATTTCCTTTTCTATCCCAAAGGATGTTTTTTGGAACTAAGGACTGGATTCCTTGCATTCTACTTGTTTGATGGGTTCAGAAAACTGTAGAACACTACTTTCCCAAACTTTCTAATATTATGAGAAAATATGGAAACCCAACAGCAGAAAGCAATATATGTTGAAGACTTCGAGAAAGCTTGCTAGATTGGAACATAACTCTGAGCTTCCAGGTTGCCAAAGTGGGGAGTGAAAAAGCAATTCTTGAATGTAGCTTTCAGAGCCTTTCTCAAAATTGCCAGAAAATTGTAAATTTTAATGAGACAGAAGGGGAATATATTAACTTAGAATAGTTGCATTTAATTAGTTTGATATAATATGAATTAATATATCCAGATGAATTTCATCTCCAGATCACTGTGGCCAGTGTTGATGATGTAAAAGACACGTGTAGTGCTAATCCAGAAAATATGGCATGCTGGACTTAAAGGAAAAGAGATCACCCTCTTGTTTTCACTGGAGATTGACAGGAAAGCTGAATAGGGTCAGAGTTACCATCTCCTTTCTCTTGCCTGTGGAAGTTCATTCCAAAGAAGAGATGACCAGAGAAGGATCACGTTTCTTTCTTTCAAGATTACAAAGATAACTCATACCAACATATTCTTATTTGCATAGAGCTTTCTTCTTAACCCATTATTGTTGGCATAATTGAAATAATCTCAGATGCAAATTGTATGTCATCAAGCTGAATGAGAATCAGTAGGGAAAAATTCCAGAATTTCTCTACCCACCCCAAATTTTCCCCTCCCATGTTTCCTTAAACATATAGCAGACAGGTATAGTAATAAAATGCTGTCCCTATAAAGAGGCCATTTTTTATTTTTACACCCATCAGAAGATCATCCGTTTTGGGCATGGGTTAACCAGAAATGGTAGCAAGACAAAAACTTTTTTTCCCCATTGCCACCAGTGCAAGATCCCCAGCTTGGAAATGGGGAAGGGAACAATATTTAAAACTGGATGGATATAGAACATCACAACATTGCATGAACTTTGTTGATAAGAAAATGAAAAAGAGGGAAAAAGAGAGTGTACCTGCAGATATTATAGACATTCTTTGTACACTATTTTATTCAGTAATAAAATCTGAATAAAATATCTTACCAGTTTTCCTCTTCCTATGAAATAAATTGTTTTGTTCATAGGAACAAAATAAGCTAAATAATGCCTTTCTATTTAAGCAAAAATTAAATTGATTCTTACATAGGCAATCCATCTTTTCTGGTATGGGCTATGGTCATTTAATACTGCAGACATTTAGAGACAAAAATGTCAGGTGAAGATTGTGAGTTGACACAATGGCTGTTTTTGATCCTGTAAGAAAACTGTCTGCCTCTCATGCAGGAAAGTTACTATGAAATTTTCATGCAACGAGGACAACACTAATTATTTTGCTGAGGCAATTTTCATTGCTCCTATGACTTCCTCTGGCATTTCCTCCAGTTTGAAGGGTTCTTCTGAGCCCAAAATATGTCAGAGGAGACTGTGGAATAGTGAAAAATGAAACAGTGATGCAACTTTGCTTTTTCTTTGAAGAAGCAAGGTCTGCATTGCTTCATGAAGCTGCTTGGAAAGGATGCTTTGCTTAAAGCACTGACAAAGTGAAGCATTGGTGCCAATAACATTGAGATGGGAGATGCAATTTCAACCTATAATTTCATACACCAATCCACTCTCTCCTCCCTTTTGTAGCTCTTAATATGGCACCACCAAAGAAACTTTTGTCTGAGACCTTGAATTCTTCCTGTATGTCAAAATTGCTTACTTCACATTCAATAACAATTATAATTTGGATCCTGCAAAATAAAGATAAAAATGGAATCACCATACTCTTGTAAATGAAAGGAGGATTGAAACTGGCATTTGGACAAGGTATGACTAGAAATCTGATGAATCCTATACCCCAGCAAAAAAACACCTCCTGAACCCCAAAAGATACCTATCACTTCTTTTCTATACTGGTATTGGCTTCTGCCTGATGTGTCCAAAGATGGAAGCAAGGACAAAAGAAAAAAAAAAGGAGTGACTTTGTGTCCCTTGTCATTACATCTTAATAGTGATACAACTGGGCAAAAGAGAGCGGGACTAATGAAGAGAGACTAGTCAGCCCACACTCATCATTTGAAGCAGATATTATGGAATTTAAAGATTTGAAATGCCCTTTAAGTCATTACTTTTAAAAAAGAATTAGATATTGCACAATTAATATTAGGACTTTCTTTTTTATACTATCAGGATGATGCAGATATTGCACAAAATGCCTAATGAATGAACATCTGCAATATTGATGTGGCCCCCATGTAGGTTGATCTATATATCCTGCTGTAATACTGTTCATGATGGAGGGACAGAAGAAAATTAACTTGTGGAACATAAACTGTTGCATGTTATGCATTTGTGTAGAGATTTGTAAGATTTAGACATGAATAAGCAAATGATAGGACATCAGCTCCACTTCAGAAACAGGAAAAATTAATTCAGAACTCCCAAGGATAAGTTTTGAAGAGAAATTCCAAAGGAACTCTGGAACAGAGGCACCTCACTATCATAGGATTAATAAAATGTATACATGCTCATTACATCCTAGCATAATATCTGCTAAGTTCAAAACGAGTGTGCTTGATTCTATGTAACCATATGACATAGCATTTCTGCTTAGAAATTTGTTCTAATGTGAGAAATGGCTCTTAAAAAACAAATATGTGTACATTTTGTTATGGCTTCATTACTCTGTAATGATTAATGACAGGCACAACATGATCCTTTACATGACAATGTACAGTAGATGTGAGATGGGCTGCAATTAATCTTTCACTATATAAATATTAGTAAATGGGTGTCACAGTCTGCTGGGGCGGTATCATTAATATTGACACAGGAATGAACTCATGTGCAAAGGCATATCTTCTATGAAAAGATATGAGGCTGTATACACACATCACATTTCCCCCTGGTTAACTTACCTACGATTTTTGGAAATAACCCAATTTTCAGGGTTTACTGTAGTGTAAACTAAACATTGCACAATAAATTGTACCTAGGGGAACCTATAGGACTAATTCATTTGGCAAGTACTAGTTTTGCAGTGAGTGATAAAAAGATATTTTCCACTTTATGCAGTTCAAAGTAAGCACAAAGTGTTAAGATAGAAATACAATACATATTATTAATAGGGGGCCAAAAGTCCATATGCATAATACTAAGTCCCCCACAGGGCTATTTGATTTTATACACTTCTAAATAAATAATAATAAACATTATAAAGAAAAAAATATATCATAATATATAACCAATAATAGGTTCAGCAATACATTGTAGAGACTAGCTAGGTAATTGCGCAACTTATGCAGAAGTAATATTCTAGATTGTTAATAGAATGCAGCTATATAAACTTAATTATTAGAGTTTGTTTGATTTCTCAGTCAAAATGTAATCTGAAATGATGAGCCTATCATAATGAACATTTTAAGTTACTGAGGTTAGCCATTATTGATATACTATTAAGGGGTATAAAAAGATGAATATTGCTTATTAAAATAAATTTAAATGATACATTGCAATAAATTCCTACACACCCTAATAATTCAATTCATTCAAAGGATTTATTTATTTATAATTCAATTTATATGGCTGCCCATCTATGCAGTTAAACTCTGGATGGTGAACAAAATGAAAATATAGCAATCTATTAAAACTGAAAAAAGAAACAAATAGAATCCTCCATTAAACCTCAATTTTCATG